GCGCCGCGTGCCGTCTCGAACCGGGCGCCGACGACGCACCCGTCGTAAGGTTCGTTCCTCAACTCGTTCTGGCCTGGTTTACATTGCAAATTTTTGTAACCTGGACACTGTAGCATGTTTTATTTGTATTTGATAAATTTTATCCGATCATGGACTAACTACACTCAAAAGATCTATCTCGGGCAAACTGTGTAATTAGTTATTTTTTTTACCTACATTTAATGCTCTATGCATACGTCTAAAAATTGATGTGATGGAGAAAGAATAAAAAAACTTAAAATTTAGAGATGATCTAAATAAGGCCCTAGACCCGCTGGCACGTCCATGATTGTGTGAGATGATTCCAGCTACAGCTAGCTAGTACGCCTACTAGCCTACTAACCTACGTTATTACGTATTCGCTTATTCTTCGACTCGATCGAGTGGCCAGCAGGAGATGCATCGCGAAACCCAAATCTAAAATGGTGTCAAGATAATATCTATAGCCTATAACAAAATATCTATATAGAAAACCTATTTTAGATATTGGAAGAGGCATAATCTAAATCTAAGTATCCTCTCTTCTGAAGATCCATTTGTAGAAAGGGTTCTTCTGAAGATCTAATTTAGGTATTGGGTCTTGTTGTTGGAGAAAATAAAAAATAAGTATTGAACTCTTTACCTGTAGCGCTACCCAAGAACGAATGAGTCTTGTATTTTGGGTCATGATTCTTGGAGGCGGTCTTAGGAAAATTAAAGCCCTGTTCGTTTAGGCTTGGTTTGGCTTATAATAAGCCAATGAAAAAATCTTCATTAGGCGATTTGGTTGGTGTGAGAAAAATATTGTTAGATTAGGCGATAAATTATAGATTATAAGTCAAATACGACCCAAATGATCAAAGCTATAAACTGGCATGTCGGGAGGAGCTTGGGAACAATCTGTGAGATCAGTGCTAAGGACTCTGTGCGACATGGATCTGCAACTGTGTACAATTAAGGAATTCAAGTTTGTTCAAATCTGGCTTTCATTCAGTACGCCCATGTTTACTAGTTTGTCTGTACATCCCACTCTTCCTATAATCCTACTCTACGATTTTTTTTCTTTTCCGAAAAGTACTCTATCAACGAATTAGAAATTGGGCACCAACAGGAATCAGAGCGCGAGCTTGAGGTGGTCAGGGCAGGCGTCGCTGGCGTCCGGTCGCCGATACGGCTCCGCGCGCGCGGCGACCCGGACCTTGCGCTTCTCCATGAACCGCTGCAGCGACGCCGTCCTCGCGACTGGCAGCAGGTCGGCGGCGGCCGCAGAGGCGGAGACCTGCCCGCCGCCGCGCTTGGCACCGGCGGTCGCCTCTGTTCCTGCACCTTCTTGCGCTGCTGCTGCGCCGCCGCCGGCGAGGAGAAGCAGGCCCGCCGCCTTGTCCGCCGGGACGTCGTCGAGCACCAGCACGCGCCCTCCGTACACGATGGTCATCATCTGCGCCGGCGCCGGCGCCGCTTGAGCCAGGTGGTCCAGGCCGTCGTCGGGGCTGCAGGCGTCGGAGACGTCGGCGCCCGGCATCAGCAGGAGGGGGCGCACGGGCACGGCTGCCGGCCTCGCGTGCGCGTGCTTCCTCTCGGCTTCGGCCGCCTTCACGTACTGGCTGAGCGCCCCGCACGCCGCCGCGAACCGGCTTGTCGCCGCAGCGGCGCCGCCCGTGCCTACTGGAGTTAAAGCTGCTGCCGCCATCGCCGGTGATGAGCTGCTGCCTGCCGCTGCCTTGGGTTGGGAATTGGGACCTTGCTTTGCTTCCCGGTTTCGTGAGGAGGACTTCTTTGGTTTGGCTTGGGCTTTTGGGTTGGGAGCTCCATTTTATAGGTGGGACTGGAAGCGAGGAATCGTCGGGGATATCATGAGGACATGGGTGTGAAGCCGCGCGCGCGGCGCGGTGGGTCGTCGGCACGAACAACACGTGAAAGTTGCGGTGGGAGCAGCATAAATAAAACTACCAGCCGGTGGACAGCGGCATGCACAAGTGGTGCAGTGGACGACTTGGCCGACTGGCCGTGGACCCCGTGCTGGGACCGTCGGACATTTGCAGCTGCAGGCAGATTATCAGAGGTACGTCACAAATCACAATCATCATCACATACGTCGTGCCGCAGCCGCACCGTACAATTACATATACTTGCCATACATCACTCTTGCCAAGCGGGCAGAAGCCAATATAAAATTTTGGCAAAAAAAAAACAAGCCAATATAAGTTAAGGTACCGTTTAGTTCCACTTTATTTTGCAAAATTTTTCAAGATTCCTCGTCACATCAAATCTTTGGACGCATGCATGAAGCATTAAATATAAATAAAAAATAAAACTAATTACACAGTTTAGACGAAATTCACGAGGCGAATCTTTTAAGCCTAATTAGACTATGATTGGACACTAATTGCTAAATAACAATGAAAGTGCTACAGTACTATTTTGCCAAAAAATTTGCAAACTAAACACACCCTGGTCTGTTTGCTTCCCAGCCACACCTCGCCACAGCAGCAGGTTAGGCAGCCATGCCCATACAGGGCAGTGTTTGGTTGATTATTAACCTTAGGCTCCCACAGCTTTTAATGCAGTAGTGATTCTCGTCACAAGCGTGGCGCTGGTTTTTCTCACCTCTGCCACAACCCGCCACAATTTGGTGTGGCATATCTTGTCTGGAACCAAGCAGCCCCTAAAAAAGCACGTGGTTTCGAATTTTGATACTATGAAATTTGTCCATTGTACTCCCTCCACTCTCGCTTCTCGAGGTGTTAAATATTCTTTATTTAGACTAAATACATATAAAAAGTATTAATGTTATAATGCGTAATAAGTATCGTTAGATAATATATTTTTATAATAAATGTAATTGGAGAATGTAGACAATATCTTCTATAAACTTAGTCAAACATAATTTTTTTTTGACTCCTCATGAAGTGAGATCTATATTCTTTTTGGAATAGACGGAGTACCTTGAAATAAGACATCGTCTTTCAAAGCCCCTGGCTCGAGTTTTTTTTCCATCACAATGAGTCAAAAAGAAAAACAAGTCTAGTTTCCCCCTACCTTTTCCTATAGCTTGGTTCATTTAGGAATATGCTTGGTTAGCACAACTCTAACTCAAAGTTTTATGGTAGATATATATGTAGTTTCAAAGCCAAATTAAAGATGTTTAAGTACATAAATGATTCATATTGATGCATGCCTTGGACCATTGTCGTACCTCTGGCTCAAAGACTTATTAGACTCAGTTTTGAGAAATTCATGAATCTTTTGGAGCTAGAAATTTACTAAACATGGAACTACAAGTTAGTACAAATTTCGAATGCTTGCATACTTGACGTACGTATACCTAGACATACGTTTTGCATTTTCTTTTTCATAAAGGAGTGTTCATTTTTCTTTTGTTGTTCGTGGTAAAGGAGCGTGGCTTTTTTGAATTGAATGATGGAAGGAACGTGTCTTTATATACTCTGTTTGAAATCGATCGGAGGCACTAGCTAACTATATATAGTACGTAGAAGAAGACGAGTAAATTAAAACAGCTGCGTGGAAAAGAGGCCGACTACTCGACTAGCAACACAATCACACAATCCCCACAGAAAAGTTCACCGGTTTGACGGTTTCGTTCCTGATTTTTGTTTGGATTGGAAAAAGACGAAGACGACCCGCAAGCCTGCACGTGCGAAGTTAGGCCGACGGAGGGAGGAATGGAAGGAGGATGCGTGCGTGCTGCTGTCTCACGCGATGTGCCGGCCCGTGGGGCACACGATCGATTGACCTCCGCCAGCCCGACCGCGCACCGCCGCGCTAAAGTAAATTCAACGGTAAACCAGAAGAAGCGGCCGGTACGGTGCATGTGCAGCGGGAAGCTCCGACAGAGTTTCAGGCATGTCACATGTGCGAGGGACGGGACCAGTGGGCACCATTTCATTTCTTCTTTCGTAAGAAATTGTAATTCTCTATTACCCTAAACCATCTCCTGACTCTTAGTTTTTAGAAAGATGTGAAAAAATCCCTCTCCAACCACCCCTAATACAATCTCCTAATATTTTAGGAGTTGAGAAAAATCATCCTCATTCGCGTAACTTTACGCGCCGCAGACTCGCGCGTATCCTCCGTGGCGCAAAGGTCGCGACATTTTCTTCCTTCCCGCGCCCTTCCTTTGCCGCGGTTTCCGCCCTCGCGCAATTGTTCTTCGTTGAGCGCAGAGGATCTTCACCGTCGCCGATCAAGGAAGAGGTAAAAACTCCATCTATCTACTGCTCTGTTCTGGTATTTTGCCGTTCGTTGGTCTTATCCACGCCGCCGCCTCCGGGATTGGCCGCGTGCTGTGTCTCTGTGCGATGCCCAGGCCGCGTGCTGTCTCTGTGCCACGCCCTGGCCGCCTGCCTCTCTGCCTGTGTTCTGTGAATTTGGTTTCTTCGTCTGCAGCTAGCTTGTCTTGGTGGCCGGCAGGCAGCAGTTTTTTTTTTCATTGGACTCCTTGCCTGCATGGTACTATGGTACTCCTTGCCTGCATGGTACTATGGTACTCCTTGCCTGCATGGTACCGTGGTCTGCTGATGGTACTGAACTGCTACTGGCGGGCTGCTTGCGTATGTCTGCAGCTGATGGTTCCTGTATACTGTCTGCTGCTGCTCTGCTGATGGCTAGCTGCTGCTCCTACTAGATGGCCGGCTGGGAGCTAGCGAGGTGCGGCGGCGGCAGAGAGGTCGCGGCGTGAGAAAGGGTTTGGCGTGCCCCTGTGCACTTCCGCGACAAAAAAAAAAGAGGTTATTTATTAGAAACTTTTGGAGAGGTTTTTTTTTCTCCAAATATGTTTTTAGAAGTCGCAAAACTACCAGCTTTTAAAAGAAAAAAATAGAAAACTCTCGGAGATGCTCTTAGAAATCTCGGAGATGCTCTTAGAAACTAGTAGAGTTTTTCCTCTGTACAATCGACTCTTCTTACACTTACATACAGTACGCTACGAACACCTAGAGTAGTAGTAGTAATAACAGGCTGTATCAGAGCGTGAGAGCTAGATGGTCCGGGAACGACGACGCCACCGCGGCGGCGGCGGCATCCGCCGGACGGCTGTATGGCGAACCGCGCTTGGCGACCCGGCCCTTGCGCTTCTCCATGAACTGCCGCAGCGACGCATTCCTCGCCATGGGCAGCAGGTCATCATTTCGCAGCACCCGTGGCGCGGCGCCTTGTTGCGCGGCGGCCGCGAGCCGGAGCAGCGCGGCGGCCTTGTCCGCGGGGACGTCGTCGAGCACCACCACCCGGGCGCCGTACGAGATGGTCAGCTGCTCGCGCTCGGCGCCTGATCCGCCGCCTCGGGGCTCGGGCTCCTCCTCTTGAGCGGTGGATAGGTCCGCGCCGGGCATCAGAGGGAGTACCGCTACTACCGTGCCCGCCGCCGCTGGCCGCGGCTGCTCCACCGTCGTCGTCGTCGTCGTCGCCACCGCTGATGCCGCTTTCACGTACCGGCTCAGCACGTCGCACGCCGCCGCGAACCGGGCGCCGTGGCCCTGGACGCTCCCCGCCGTTGCCATTATCTTGGGTTTCTTTGCTTCGCGCTGTGTAATTAGGCGAGCTTTTGCTGCTTCTTTGATCCTGTCGCGCTGGGCCTGGGAATTGGGACGGAGGAGTTGTATGTGACGGATGGTTTCGGCGGATGGACTCGGGAGGAGATTTTTATTTATATTATATAGACGGGTGGGGGAAGTGGGAACGACGGTCGACGGAATCGCGCGGTGCGTGCCGTGTGAAACCGTGGTTTTGGGTCCTCACCTGTTTCTGCCACGACCAACACGTGATGGTTTGGGAGGCTGATTGCTGCGCTGCCTGATTAGTGATTGGATTGGGTTGGGTTGGCGCGCCGCGATGTTTAGGAAATCGGACGTGCTGCCGTGGGTGGGGTTGCTGGGCTCCGCTCTGTGTCTTGATGGTTTTATGCGTGGCTCCGCTCTGTGGATAGGTATTGTACTATGATGATATTTTCTTTGCTATATATATATATAATTTTTTTATGATGTTTCTCATCACTTTGAGCACATCCTCGGCCCACTGGAAAAGAGAGAAGCTTGACACGGTGGTTCCGCGAGAACACCTCTAACGCCTACTTTGGCAGCAGGGAACCCCTCCGGGATCCTGGCGTTTTCCCAGGGCGAGAAGCCCGCGCGGAAACTGGCCACGGGCCAGATTACGGAGCTGTTTGGAAGCCTACGCGGAGGGGGAGGGCAGCCCGACCCACGCGTTTTCCCCGGGGCGCCGCCCCACGTCTCGAGACACCGGGCACGGTTCCCCGTCCACTCGCGGGTCGCTCTGTCTATCTTTCGACGTGAGGAGGCGAGGACCGAGGAGGCACTGTGCCGCCACCGCCCGTCATCCCTTCGACGCGAGGAGGCACTGCGCTGCCACCGTCCACCACATGTCTTCGCCGCGCCATCCCTTCGACAACCTCTCGCACCCGGCGACTCCTCGTGGCAGGGATTCCACAGGCCACCACCGCCTCGCTTCACCTCCGCCACCCTTCCCCGCTGATCCTCTGCGTTTCCATCGCTGTCGCCTCGGATAGCGGCACCAGCAGCTCTGCTTCCGCCTCCGTAGGTGAGTTCTCCTCCAAATGCATCTCCTTCCTCGTTTTTTGATCCGCTAGGGTTTCATCCGCAACTTTGCATATCTGTGCTCCTTTTTGATGAAGCAATGGTACTGCTCCTGTTGTAAATGGAGGAAGCAGAGATTGGAAAAGCCCATACTAGCTAGTTGTTCAGGACTCATAGTAGGGGAAAGCAGAGATCAAGTAAGCCCCGTAGCTAGAAAATGCCTGCGGTGCCTGAAAATTCAGGTCAATGGTCTGTTGTGTTTGTTTGCCAGCACATACTGAAGATTTAGCTACTTAAGGTTCAATCTTTGTTCAATGTTTGGTGTTTGCTATCTGTTGCAATGCATTCAGCTCATTTCTTTAGTAGTAGACTCTTATATAAATATTACAGGCACTTATGGTGTTGAATGCGGCAATAATTGGATATGTTGTACTAGCAATTGAAAATTGGAAACGTCAGCGCTTGGCATAATCTCTGCTTAATTTTCCCAAAGTAGCTAGGCACTAATTAGGGAAAGGGTAGTAATGGTGATTGTTGTTCCATCTTACTAGCGCTAGTAGGTAGAGATGCACTATTGTCAAAAGGAGGCAAATTGGCCTTTGTGTGATTCTATTGGTACTTCTGCAGTTCTACGTCATCAACATCGCCTCTGGTTTGTAGAGAAAATTGTCAATTTCCTGAGCAATAGTTACCTCATCCTCAGGGTCAGGTTAGCTTCAATCCTTTGCTTGGATGTTTGCTCCCTCTATTGGTGCTTTAGGAAACCTGCTTGTTGGCAGCTATTTTTCTCCCAAAATCGTGTTTCCCCCCCAATCCTTCTTGTGCTCCAGTTCTTCACAAGTGTGGCTATAGCTAAGAGCTCCCTCAAACTCCAAATGGCAGCTACCAATATCAGCGACCACTAGCATTCGTAAGCAAGTCAAATAGATGTAATGCATCCTTTCTGTACCTGAATATTTTGATCAATAAAATAGGGAGCAGATATGTACATGCATGCGTGCTACACTGCTACCATTCGTTCATGTATGTACTTATTTGATTGATTGATAGCTTCTGGTCGACTCACTCAGAAACACTTTTTGGGTTCAGCTTATTGATTGTGTGAACTTAGAGGTTGAAGTGATCCTAAATAACGTGATATTAGTCGCAATGGATTGAGTATAGGGGAATGACCTTTTTAAGGCAGCCAAGTTTGTTGAAGTATAAATTATGTGAACATGTCTGCTGGGTTATTGATGTAACTGGATGTAGGGAGAAGGAAAATGCAACAACAATGTCTATGTGAGAAGCTTGTGAAAGTAAGTTTAAAGTCAGTTTATTGTAGTGCCAAAATTATTGGTTCCAATTTATTTTTTGTTATCAGTCCATTATGTCTGTAATGACTGTATTTGATATGACGATAAATGGATTAGATTGGTTGGGTGTTAGGTTTGATATGATGATGAATGGAGCTATTTTCATAGAAAACTTTGTAGTTTTCACAAACTTAAATGCAGCTATTTTCTCATCGTAGTTTTCTAAAGAATGAGCCTTTAGCACTTACCAAGGCTAATACGCAGTTTTACATTACTTGTATGAACAGATGTGAAGTGGGCTTAATTTGCTAAATCCTTACAAATCTGTGTGATGTTCATATAGGTTGTTTATGTCTGCACTTGACACTTTTGGATAGTCCTACACTTTCCTTTTGAAAGTTGAAAACTGATAATGCTAGCTCAACTTTATCTGATCGTTGAAGTTCAGATTGGGGGGTAGGAAGGTTAACTTGGAGGTTACACATTTCTTTAAGTATCCGCCCTCTGCGTTGTCACTTCCATCCTCTGATCCTTAGACGAGTAGCAGACCAGCTGGTACAGATGCATCGTTTGACGTATGAAGTTTGCACCTTTATCCTTCTAACTTCATATGCATGTGTTCAAGAGTTGCTATCTGAATATCTGATGACTCATTTTGTAGTCAGCATAGGATGGCTTGCTGCTTCAATTTAGTGTATTATATTTACCTAAAAATATAGCAAGAAGATGGAGGTCTGTCCAAACTGCTGTATTCTGCCATTTAGTAGTTCGTATTTACCCCTGCATGAATCTGGATTGCACTAGACTAAGTATTGGCTACTTGTTGAACTTTCAGATCTCAAGACTGGATACGATTTTGTGGCACTTGTATGGATACAGTGGAAGGAATGCATCTATCCAAGATTATGTGCTCCAGTGAAGTAGTAGTTTGTTCAGATCCAAACTTGCCAATAAGTCTCATGCCCCAATTTTATTTTTCATTACCTCACTGGGTATATATGTGGATGGACATGATCATGTGAAATCCATAGTTTAGCTTTGTTGGAAGATGGTCTCGAATAGTTTCTATATGAATATATTACTTGTATTAATTAGACTTAAATTTAGTTTTGAAATATTTATGTATTTGTACAGAAAGATTTATTCCTGGTATTTTTCATGATTTTGTGGATTTTTTTTATTTTTTGAGACATACGGTACTTGATTGCTTCAATTGTGTGGTCAGTTTTACCAAACGAATCCTTGGAGTATTATATATTAAAATAAAACAGCAGCAGGGAAATTCCCCCAGTAGTCTACCAAACAGCTACAGTGAAATTCTCCCATGAGTGCATATCCACCCCGGGTGGAGGTGGGAACGGAAGATCCAAAAAAAAAAAATTCATGTCCGGGGCTATATTCCCTAGGCTAAATTGCCCCTGTTGCCAAAGTACTCCTAAAAGAGATGAGTCGTTTTTTCTATTTCAATGTAAATCAATTCCTATAAATCATCCTGCAAGTCAAACTATGACTAATTTTATAGGAATGAATAGTAATATCTATGACACCAAATAAGGGCATTATGAAAATATACATGTTATTGCATATCTATTTATGCTAGCTAATTTGTTGTCATAAATATTAGTACTCTACAGATCGAACTGAAATAACTTAGAAAGTTCATTTAATTTGGAATAGAGGGAGTGCCTTATCTAGCTCCTGGCCGGTGAAGCAAGTTGTTGGAGAGAGTGAATAAATAAATTAATTTAAAAGATACTAATAATTCTAGAGTAACGTGAACAAAGCTAAACTTAATGGCAGTAAGTTGGACCTTTCCTATTTACAAAATGGCACCAAAATGCCTAAAATAAATAAGAAATTTAACCCAAATTTAAAACATCTTTCTAGAAGATGGTGTGACAATAATAAGGTTCAAAAGAAGGCATCTAGTGTGTCTAGCGATTTCTTTCGTGGATGACGCCCAATCTCCGTATTGCCATGAACTGCCAATTAATAAACTCTCGATTTTCTGATTCACGCCCTTGTTCTTGAGACATGGCATTTTTTTTTGTCTCCCTTACCTTGTATATAAAAACTGAACTGAACTGAACCACACGCAAACTTCCACCATATTCTATTGAAATTTTAGCTATATTCCAGACTAGCTCCGACATTCTTTAAGTTTAACATGTTATAAACATGATGAAATACGAACTTTTGCTTGCGTGTCGTCATCGAAAGAACTGTTAACAAAGAACACACAGCGTATATTTATGGACTTGCTAGTAGTGTGCCAAAGTCAATGGCAAGTGTGACATTTCTACTTTGGCCAATAACAATCGTTCAAAAGAAAGGGCAACTTGCATTCATCATATATAATTATAATTTCCTACAGGCTACAGAGCTAAGCTGAACTTTCCTATATATACACTACACGCCAATACGACGTCGTCGACGCGGAAAGTGAAGTCCAGTACGCGGCGGCGACGGCGAGATGGCGACGCCGACGCAGGCATCAGCACGCGCACCCTCCTGGAGCACCAAGGCCGAGCCAGGAGGACCCCGCGTCTTGTTCGCCCGCCTGCAGGTTCCGTCGTTCCTCGTTGGACGACGCCGGGGCCGGGCGGGCGGCGGCGTAGGGCGCGCGCGCGACGAGCCTGTCCCGCCTCTTCT